CCCCTCTTTCCTCCCATGAAGCAGATAGATGATGGTTTTGACTATGTGGTTAGCAGCCTAATGCAAGACCACCACACCACGAGGGTTCCTTTATTACTTAGTAGTGGTTTATTTTATACTTGTAGTTACTATCCAGAAGCCCTGGTGGCATAGTGGCTTTGCATTGGGCTGCTAATCATAAAGTATGCAGTTTGAAACCACCAGCAGTTCCTCAGGAGAAAGATGAGGCTGCTCTACTCCGGTAAAGAGTTCGTCTCAGAAACTTTCGGACAGTTCTACCCTGCCCTATTGAGTCACCCTGAGTCTACATAGACTGGATGGCAGTGAGTTTTGATTTAATCTCTTAGCCATGTGAACATTTATGTGGAGGCCATAAAATGTCTACATACGTCCTTTTTTTCCCCTTTTCCCTAAGCTTAGCTATAGTATGATGTAGTTAAGTTGGCCCCAACTCCTAGTGATCCTTGTATATAGCAGAACTAAACAGTGCCCGGTCCTGCACTATCCTCACAGTTGCCGTTCTCTTTGAGCCCTTTATTACAGCCACTCTTGTGGATCTTCTTCTTTGTTGCTGACTCCCTTCTTTACCAAGCATGCTGTCTTTTCCAAGGACTGGTCTCTCCTGATAACATGTCCAAAGTATGTGAGAATGAAGCCTTTGCCTTTAAGGAACATTCTGGCTGTACTTCGTATATAAAGACAGATTTATTTGTTCTTGTAGCCTACTGTACTTTAAATCTTCTTCACCAACATCATAATTCAAATGTATTCATTCTTCTGCAGCCTTCCTTTTTCGTTATTCAGCTTGCACATTCATATGAGGTGATTGAAAATACCCTGGTGTGGGCCAGGTGCACCTTAGTTCTCAAAGTGACATCCTTTCTCTTAAACACTGTAAAGAGGTCTTGCACAGCACATTTACCAAATGTACCACTTGATCTCTTGACTGCTGTTTTGATGAGCATTGATTGTGGATCTAAGCAAAATGAAATCCTTAACATCTTCAACCTTTACTCTTTTTATTGTAATGTTAATTTTTGGTCCATTTATGAGATTTTTTTTTTCACATTTTATTAGGAGCTCTTAGAGATATTATTACAATCCAAAGTTCCATTAGATTACTGGTTCTCAACCTGTGGGTCGCCCTTTTGGGGTCTCCCGACAACATGAGGGAACTATATTAAAGGGTCACAGCATTAGGAAGATTGAGAACCACTGCATTAGATCAAGCATAGTTGTATAATTGCTGGAATCATTTTCAGTACATTTTGCTTTTTGAACTACTTGATGATATCAGCTTCTCTTTTGTTCTCTCCCCACCCTACCACCCCCTTGAACCCTTAATATATTCTATATTCATTTATTATTTTAAAAATTATTTTATTGGGGGGCTCATACATATCTTATCACAAGCTATACATCCACTGTGTCAAGCACATTTGTACATTTGTTGCCATCGTCATTCTCAAAACATTTGCTTTCTACTTGAGCCCTTGGTATCAGCTCCTCATTTTTCTTCCCTCCCTCCCTCACCTTTCCTACCTCACAACCCTTGATAATTTATAAATTATTATCATTTCATGTTTTACACTGTCTGATGTTTCCCTTCACCCACTTTTCTGTTGCCAGCCCCTCAGGGAGGGTGTTATATGTAGGTCATTGTGACCAGTTTACCCTTTCTCCCTTACCCTCCTGGTATCGCTACTCTCATTACTGGTCCTGAGGGGTTTATCTGTCCTAGATTCTCTGTGTTTCCAGCTCTTATCTGTACCAGTGTACATGCTCTGGTCTAGCCGGATTTTTAAGATAGAAATGGGATCATGATAGTGGGGGTGGGGGAAGGAAGCATTAAAGAAGTAGAGGAAAATTATATGTTTCATCGGTGTTATACTGCACTCTGACTGGCTCATCTCCTGCCCATGACCCTTCTGTAAGGGGATGTCCAGTTGCCTACAGATGGGCTTTGGGTCTCCGCTCTGCACTCCCCCTCATTCACAGTGATAGGATTTTTTGTCCTGGATCTTTGATGCCTGATACCTGATCCCATCAACACCTCATGATCACACAGGCTAGTGTGCTTCCGTGTGGGCTTTGTTGCTTCTCAGCTAGATGGTCGCTTATTTATCTTCAAGCCTTTAAGACCCCAGATGCTATATCTTTTGATATCTTGGCACCATCAGCTTTCTTTACCACATTTGCTTATGCACCTATTTTGTCTTCAGTGATCCTGTGGGGAAGGTGAGCATCATGGAATGCCAGTTTAATAGAACAAAGTTTCCGTGTATTGAGGGAGTACTTGGAGGTCCAATGTCTATCTCCTACTCTAATAATAAGCCTATAAATATATGCACATAGATCTATTTCCCCATCATATATATATAAAATATATTTCATACCGTACATACTCGAATATAAGCCAATCCGACTATCAGCGGAGGCACCTAATTTTACCACAAAAACTGGATTTAAGACGTGCTGTAAAACCTGGCTTATAAATGCACTTTGTCCCCTAGTTCTTTCCTCTATTTCTTTTTACTTTCCTCTTGTCTCACTATCATGTTCAGTCTTCATTTGGGTTTCAGTATCCACTCAGTTACATTGCCCTTGATCAAGCCCTACCCGGCCTCCTACACCCTCCTCACCATCTATTTTTGGATCACTTGTTCCTGTGTTCCCTGGGTTTAACACCACTCCCCCACCTTCCCTTTTCCCATGTCAAGCCCCCCCAACCATTGGTTTGTTTTTTTCTCCTTCAGATTATCTCCTCCGATTTTCTTACCTAGATAGACCTGCAGAGATAATAATGTGCACAAAAAACAAGCCAGACCAAAACAAAAATAGTGAAAACCATCGACAAGATAAAAGAAAAGCCTGTAAATAGTTCAAGGTCTGTTTTTTTGACTTTTAGGAGTGTTTTCTGGTGGAGTCTGATGGGGTGCCACACCGTGGCCCCACAGTCTATTTTTTATATTCCCTGAGGACTTTGTTGCTCTGCTCCCCTTGCTATTCTGTTACACACCCTTAGTGTTTCACTTCAGTGTGGTCGGGTCAGGTCGGGTGCAATTACCACACTGTGTCTCCAGTGTTTTCCCCCCGTAGCGCTATGGCTCAGTGAGTGACGTGTCTCGTAGTGGGGCTGGCCCTATGGTCCTCTCTGTGCTGTGGCTGCTCTGAGCGGGAATATCGCCCTCAGGACTTGGTGGGCCAGGATGTGCTCCACTCTCTCTTCCTCCCCCTTCATTTGCTCCTGTGTGGTCTGATCAGACATGTCCCTCTCCCTGAGCTGTAGCTTCGGTGTTGTCCTCTGAAGTGAATTCTTCCGCAGGGAGCAGGGGCTGTCCACATAGTTGGGATTGGGGCTATTATTACTATTTTTGGCATAACATACACCATCTCATGTATCCAAAATGAAATCCTTAACACCTTCAACCTTTACTCTTTTTATTATAATGTCTTTTAGTCCATTTGTGAGATTTTTTTGTTTACATTGAGTTGAAATCCATACTGAAGTCTGTCATCTTCCATTTTGATATGCACGCACTTCAAGTCCTCCTTTGCTTTCAGTAAGCAAGATTGTGTCATTTGTATATGTCAGATTGTTCATAAGCTTTTAAGCTGGAATCTATATCCACTGATCATTTTTAAAGTGTATTCTTTTTTGACAAAATTTGTTAGTATCTATGGGTAAATACTTATATTAATTGATTTTTATTCTAGGGGATAAAGATCTCAAATAATTTTATCAAACTCCAAAAAAACCCAATCTTGCTGCTATTAAGTTGATTCTCACCCACAGTCACCCTATGGGACAGGGTTGAGGTGCCTTTCTGGACTCCCAAGACTGTAAAACTTTATGGAAGTAAAAAGCCTCATCTTTCTCTCTCGGAGTAGCTGGATGGTTTCAAACTACTGACCTTGTAAGCAGCCAAACTTGTAACCCACTATACTACAGAGACCCTTTTATTAAGTGTTAAAAAGAACAAAGACAAGACACGGACCAAAATAAAAGAATCATTCGCAAGAGGGAGACCATCAGCATCACAGAAAATAAAATTGCTCGAAAAGTCATGATTGGCAGCAGATGAATCCATCAGTGACAGGCAGACTACAGAAGCGGGAAAGGGATCATGATTGTGTTATATACATTGGGTTATACAGAGTAGAAAAGTTTTCAGGATTGATGTAAGGCCTTCTGACCACAGTCCTCGTATGTCATGACTTTGTGATCCCAGAAGTCTTAGCAATCCATTTTCAAACACACTTTACTTGAGGGCAAAACATTTTACCTTGCTGATCAATGGAAAGAACTCAATGTTGAATCTGTATAGAGACTCAAAATGGATTTAGGATTCTCAAAACTGTAGCCTTCAAACACCTCCAAGAGCAAAATCATACCCGCTGCAATTGAGTGGAATCCGTCTATAGGGTAGAATACTACTGCCCCTGTGAGTGTCCAAGAGGGCACATCTTTTCTGGGAGTTGAAAGGCTTATCTTTCTCCTGTGGATCGACTAGTGGTTTCTGAACTGCTGATTTTGTAGTTAAAGCAGCCCAGTGAGTAACCCACTATGCCACCAGGGCTCCTTCCATAAACCTGGTGCTTAGAATTTAAGCTCTAATATAATTTCCACGACATCATGAAGGTAAATTTGCCTTTGCTTTTGGAGTTTACCTGGAGAGTTGCTTGAAATTTCTCAGTTGGTGTGTTTTTGAAGCCTGAAACACACACTTGGTGGTAAAAGACCCTGCTTTCTTTCCTTGGACACTGGATGAGGACATAGAGAATGTTACTGAGAAATAGCCCAATGTTCTTACTGTTGTAAAGGGAAGTGAGAGAGCATATCTAATTTAATTTGTATTGATGAAAATGTTTGGACTATGTTGTAATGAAAGTATACATGATTCATTTGGAATGGCTTCCCCATTATTAAAATACCTTGTGAACAGCCCATTTCTTTAAGTGATAATACTCAATATAAGCATATATCCTTGTTTTAATAGGCATCAAACATGATGGAACCATGTGTGATACCTGCCGCCAACAACCTATCATTGGCATTCGATGGAAATGTGCTGAGTGTACAAATTATGATTTGTGCACAGTTTGCTATCATGGAGATAAACATCATTTAAGACATCGCTTTTATAGAATTACTACACCAGGAAGTGAACGGTAAGGAAGACAATTGTTTTCTTCAATAAGCATTCGTTGCATGTAATTTTTATACTGTCTAGCTTAAAAAATAAAAGCATTGGAAAGTAGCTGGCTTATTGCCAGGTGATCGTAAATAACAGACTAGATAGATAAAAGTGGACCTGGCCTGTAAATATAGGTATAAAAACTCATTGCCATCGGGTTGTGATTCCGACTCATGGCTGCCCTATGTAGAAAAGGATAGAATTGTTCCTGTGGACTTCTAACACTATAGAAATCCCTGTTTCTCTGGAGGAGCAGCTAGCTGGTGGTTTCTAATTGTGGTTAGCAGCCAACAATGTAGCCACTATGCAACTAGGGCTCGTATATATACATGTATCCATGCATGTATGTATGTTAAGGTGACCAGACGTCCTGCTTTTGAACAATTTTTCCCGCATCCCGCGGTGTTTTAAAAAATTCCCGATTTTTGGAAAGAATGCACGACAATCTAGGGTATACGGTTTTCGGCTGCCATGTGGTTATTTTGCCAAGATATGAGTTTTATCAATGGTGTCCCGCTTTACCAATGTTAAAATCCGGTCACCTTAATGTATGTGTATATTTGTGTGTGTACATACATACGTACTTCAGAGTTATTACAGGTTCAATTCTATACCATCATAGTAAAGTGAATATTGTAGTAAACAAGTCTCACATATATTTTTTCATTTCATTGCCTACGAAAGCTTTGTTTACTTTATACTGTAATCTATTAAAGCAGCCCTGGTGAGGTTATAGTTTAGTTGTTGGGCTTCCAACCTCAAGGTTGGCTGTTCAAACTCAGCAGCTGCTCTGTGGGAGAAAGATGAGGTTGTTTCTGTAAAAATTTGCAGTTGACTCTGGCAATGTATAATAGCCTATGGGAAAGTTGGAAATATGAAAATTGCCAAATTGTGATGTATGTATAGAGACATGAAGTGAGCACACGGTGCTGGAAAAAATGGCACCAGTAGGCTTGCCCGACGCAGGGTTTCTTTAACTTTCAATTTGTAAAAAACATCTATGAGTGCAGTGTGGCAAAGCACAATAAAACAAGGTTATGCCAGTAGAGAGTGGAGCTGACAGACTGAGATAGCCCTTCTGTAGCTTTGATACTTTGTGTTCCTCAACATTTGCAAATGCAAAGGTAGCAGAAGAGACACTGATTATTTTCTTCTCAACCTTTGGTCTGTCTTTTGCTACCAGATGAACATTGGGCTCACTGATTGTGTCAAAAGGCATTTGGCTGCTTACCACAAGGATGGCAGTTCAAACCTACTGGTGGCTCTGTGGAAGGCTTTTTCTGTAAAGGTTTATAGTCTGAAACCCGATGTAGAGTTTCTCTGAATTAGAAATGGCTCAATGTCAGATTTGTTGGTTGATAGCTACTATATTTTTTGCAGATTCCAATATCAATAAGACATGGTATCCTTAAAGACTTTAAGTTGAGGAAAATAATGAATCAACAGTGATTGTTATGAAATGTTTTGGAGTGTGTAGACATGTGTTAAGTGGATCAGGAGCAAAGAGAGGAACATTGTTAATGGCTGCAGTGTTTCAGGAGATGTAGTCTTGTGTAGATATGGATAACAATGCATGGAAGCAAGACTTAGGAGAGGCATAGGGGCTAGTAGAATGGAATTTGTAATCAGAATGCGCTTACCCTGCCATTTAATTATTCACACAGTGATTTTTGTCTTTCACATTATAATGTTTTATGTTGAAATATAAAGAAAGAAAAATGAAAAACAAAACAAAACAAAAACCCCATAGAATTAGAAAAATGAAGTAACAAGCAAAGAAAAAACATTGTTTTTTTAAGAAAAATTATTTTGATTATATGAATGATAAGATATTGAACAATAAGGGATAGTGACTCTGGAGAACAGAGCTGACTCATTCTCTGTAGAATTTTTTTCAAGGTCTGATCATCTGCAAGTAGGCAGACATGTGTAAGTAAACTCTGGAGCTTACTCATAGTGTCCCTGTGTAGGCTGACACCTCAGGAAACTAACTCTGTGTGGGAGCAGGTAGCCTCATTCTTCTCCGGAGGAGTGGTTGGTGGGTTTGAGCCACCATCCTTGTGGTTAGCAGTCTGATGTTTACCTGCAGTGCCATCTTGGTTTCTTTTGGAGATAGTTTATGTAGGTCAAATCAGGTTACAGTTGTATGAGGGGGCATTAAAAGGTTTGTGGGAAAATGGAATTAAAAGATCATTTTTTTCCATGAATATTTTGAAACTTCCCTCATTTTTAACTTGGTATACATAGTATGTTAAAAATTTTCAAGTCGGGTAGTTTCAAACAAAAATCTAGGCTTTTGTTTAAAATGGTGAATGCAAAGATGATCTGATATGTAAACCGCAACCTAATTCACATGCACTCCCAAAACAAACAAACAAAAGCTTATGGATTCTTAAAGCACACAGACTGGGAAACTTCTCTTCATTGGACCTGCGTACATTTGTTCATGACAACAACTGACTGAAACAGAGGAACACCTTCAGTCTTGGATAAATCATGCTGTGTAATTCACCAAAGTCCCTACCACTTTTTGCTGATTTCCTAACCCTGAGGCCAAGTGCCACTTGCCGTTTATCATTGCAACAGTTGAATATTTCCTAGGCCCGCTTTAATTTGTATCGACATTGCTCATTACTTGCCTCGTAGCCAGGAGGTTTTGAGTCCGCCACCTTTAATGTAGTGAAGAGTATGTTGTTGTTAGTTACCTTTAATGTGTTAGAGACCCACTGAAATCCCATGTGTGCAAAGTAGAACTGTCCCATAGGATTTTAGCAATTCCCTAGGCCTGTTAATAGAGGTGCTTTTGGGTGGGCCCAGCAGATCCAGTTATTTAACTGTTTGCACCATAATTTTTAACCCACTGCCATCAAATTGATTATGGATCTAGTACTCCAATTGGATAGAGTTGAATGGCTTCCTTGGGTTTCTGAGGCTATAAATCATTATGGAAGCTAACAGCCTCATCTTTCTCTCCAGAGTTACTGATGGGTTAGAACTTCTGACCTGGTGGTTAGTAGTGGCCCATTCCGTTAATCTGCTATGTCACCAGGGCACCTTGTTTGCCCCTTAGTCACACCCGAAATGGTTGGATCAGGTTTAGCAGCAGCACCTCTGTTACTTGTTAACTTTTGTGATGCTTCTTTGGGACTCAGTTTCTTGATACGGAAAATGGATAGTACAGCATATCTTTCTCCTAAGATGTGTAGCACACTTAACATTTGTATCAGTGCTTTTATACATAGCTTAGTACATGGTAACTACGAGTGTCACCATCACCACCTGTGGGATGTAAAAGGTCTTCTTTTATCATGCTATGTTATTACGTAATCAGAACAATGAAAAATGCTTCATTTTCAAAATAACCCTCTTTATCATCTTATTTTAAAAATAAATTATTGTTCCCTATTTTTATGTAATCCTGAAAAGAAATAATTTTACTTTTAGGGTTCTGTTAGAATCTCGCAGAAAATCTAAGAAGATCACAGCCAGAGGCATCTTTGCTGGCGCCAGGGTGGTGCGAGGCGTAGACTGGCAGTGGGAAGATCAAGATGGTGGAAATGGGCGAAGGGGAAAGGTAAAGGCTTTATCTCCGTCCGTTGTGTTTTTCTAGTTTTATGTCCAGGAGACTTTTATTACTATTATAAATGACTTTCTCAACCAATTTTATTTCTGTGCCAATAATAATCATAATTTTTAAAGTCGTATTTTTTTTTTATCCTGAAAGAAAAAAAAGATTGTTTTTGTGTTGTAAACATTAGCATTTCTTGGGAAGGTGATAGGTACATCTTACCCTTTTGTCCTCAGGTTTTCTGTTGGCTTCGAGTTGGCAGAATGCTTTTCTGGGAATCCCTTTTGAGCCAGTATCTCATGCCCTCAGCTCTCCTATTATTGAAGTGTCATTTAAATTTGTTCTGTGTTCCATTCCAGCAAAGGCCGGCCTCCTTCTGATAGGTGCTGTCAGACACCCCATGAACACTTACTCTGTGACCTTTCCCAGGTAGCTTGTAGAGCACTCTAGGGAGTCACGTCAAGCAGTAGTTCTAAAGAGAATTTTGTATCATCGTTTACCTAGGGGGGACACCCAGAGATATTTGAGCTAAGGAAGTTGTTGGTTTTGTTTATTTTGGACATCATCATACTTTGACTATCCTTTCATTGATTCAACCAATCAAGAGATGAGTGTATATACTCCCTCCTGTCCCAGATACTGGATGTACTAGAATGAGTCACATATCATATTTGAAACTGGTGTCAATCACTGCTAACCTTTCTGGAAAACGAGAGAAAGGGAGGACTTTAACCTTGAGGAATAATAATTTTAAAGTCTTCACAGCAATTCAGAAGCGCCTTAATAAAGACTTCATGCTGTGTACATGTTTTGACTTAATGTTTTGACTTAAAGATTTCTGACATTAACTTTTTGAAATACAAATTTTGTGAATTCAGAGTGCTGCTATATTGGGTTCATTTTAGTAATCTCTAGGTTTAATACTTGGAAGTCAGACAGATATATTTTAACCATTGCAGTTTAAATACCGTATTGCTGTATTCTAGTTTGAGCAGCCCTGGTGGGGCAATGATGAAGTGCTCAGTTGCTAAACAGGTTAGCTGTTTGTTCTCACCAGCTGTGCTGAGGGAGAAAGATGAGCAGATGGGACAGTTTGCCACTGTGAAGATTTTTGGAGCAGTTAGACTGTCCTATGGGACACTGCGAGTTGGAATTGACTTGATGGCAATGGATTTTTTTTAAATTAAGGAAACTGACTTTTGCTCTTTAAAAAAAATCAACACATATACTTACCTGGCAGGGGAGATACCATGATCACGAAGGTGGTTTTCCCAGGGCGAGGCTCATCCATTGCATTCCGAATGTGCTGACCCCTGCGATTTCCCCAAATGTGGGAAACGACTGCATAATCTGTGGCCATGGGCGACTGCATCCGCGCTTTCTCCTGAATTTAATTAAAACAAACAAACAAAAAGTCAACACATTACAAGGATCTACATATAACCTCCTCCCTGGATGATGGACAACAGAAAAGTGGGTGAAGGGAGACATCAGACTGTGTAAGATATGCAAAATAATAATAATTTATAAATTATCAAGGGTTCATGAGGGAGGGTGGAGCGGGGAGGGAGGGGAAAAAATGAGGAGCTGATACCAAGGGCTCAAGTAGAAGTCAAATGTTTTGAGAATGATGATGGCAGCAGGTGTGCAGATGTGCTTGACACAGTGGATGCATGTATGGACTGTGATTAGAGTTGTACGAGCCCCCAATAAAATGACTTAAAAAAATCAACACATTTACTTGAACTCTTGTTATATCCAGAGATGTGTTCCAAATTGCAGATATCACAACAGAGGCAATGTTGTTGTTAATCTTGCTGTCTACATTCTATTTTGAGGAGATAGAAAAACCAGAAGTTGTATCCGAATTCTTGTTACTGTAATGTGTCTGTGGGCCAGGAGTGTTGGAGTCACCTGTCACTTTGTTGGGAATGTGATAGTACCCTTCCTCTTCTAAACTAGGATCCTCATATTAGCAAGATCTGTAGGTCATTTGTATGCACATTAAAGTTTGATAAGTAATACTATATAAAGGAAAACAAATGTGCATTTGGAAAAGGTATTATCTCTGAATGGATGAACCCATAACCTGGCAAGTTAATGACATCGTTGTGACTATTAAAGAATAGGTATCCCTTTGGGGTAGGGACAGAACAACCTAGCACCAGCACATAAAAACCTAAACCAAACGCACTGCTATCTAACCCTATGTAGGGTTTGTGAAATTAATCTCTACAGTCGACCTAGTGATTGGCAGCTCATCCTCTAATCCTGAGTCCCAGTAGAGTCTCAGCAAGTGGAGCTTGGACGGAATGTTAGCTCCTTCCCGCCTCTTCAGTTAGACCAGTGGTTCTCAACCTTCCTAATGCCGCAACCCTTTAATATAGTTCCTCATGTTGTGGTGACCCCTCAACCATAAAATTATTTTCGTTGCTACTTCATAACTGTAATTTTGCTACTGTTAGGAATTGGGCGACCCCGGTGAAAGGGTCGTTCGGCCCCCAAAGGGGTTGCTACCGCCAGGTTGAGAACCGCTGAGCTAGATACCTTGTGCAGCCTCCACATCCACTCAAAGCAGATCTCTATTACACACACATAAAAATACATAACATGTATGGGAAAGTTTAAGGAATAATAAGATGAACACTTCTATTTCTACTACACAACAGGACCTAGACAGGTTGTCTTCAATGTTCGATACCCAGGTTGCTTTGTATTATTTGTTTCCAAGCTTACCTTGATTTGCTTCAATGTTTTTATGAATTTAATCCTAAAAATAGTAGTTACAACTGAAGTTATTTTAATACTTTTATGATTTTATTTTAAAATGCTTGTTTCTTTTTGTGATTAAGAAATAGAACATTAGGAGGACATTTAAATGTTTTATGTGTGCCCTTCCTAACTGTAAGCTCCCCAATATGACCATCTTCCTGATTTTTACATTTATCCTCCCTTGCTTTTTTATTTTGTGTTAAACTTATGGTTTAATTCTTCAAAAGCCAAGTAGTAAGCACAAATCTAGCTTTTGTAAATACAAGGCAGGATTACCATTTTTAGAATGAAGCTTCCAGAAGAAGATGAACTGAAAAGAGTTCCTGGGGCAGCTTGTCTTGCTTGCCAGCTTTCCTAATGAACCCTCTTAATCGTGAGTGTTGTCTGTGAGTTCTGTGCGGTCATTGCTTCTCTGGAGTTTACAAGAGTCCTGTTGGAAAGGCAGAGGACAAAGTCATTAGTGAGGTCAAGGAAACAACCCACACAAGACATGAGGCAGCGGGCATAAGTATGGGCTGAATGCTGGGCATTTGGCAGGCATATGGTCAGAGAGGGTTGCTGTGTAACTTTTGTTTATAAGCTTACTATTGTTAGCTAAAAGCAAAGAGGTCTGAAAGCACTTGTTGCTAACAGTGAAAGATTATAGACTTCAATATAGATTACAGTGAACCCTCGTTTATCGCGGTTAATCGGTTCTAGACCCTACCGTGATAAATGAAATTCCGCGAAGTAGGATTCCTTATTTGTAAGTCAAATATTTTCGTAGTTAGAGCATAGAGGACATGAAAAAACACCCTTTAGTCACCATTACACTCGTATTACCCAATTTATTAAACGAAAAAGGGAAAATACAGTAAAACATTTTGGACGCTACAATTATCATTTATTATTTATTATATTATTTATGGCATCAAGCATGTACAGTATGAGCCAATCAGTGGCAGTAATGACAGAGCATGCGCTGTTACGCAAAAACCGCGATAGAGTGAAGCCGCGGAAGTCGAAGCGCGAAGTGGCGAGGGCTCACTGTATACTCGACATAAGAAAAACAAAAAGATCCTTAAAACTGTACCAATAAGAAACATCATAACTGGAGAAAAAGATTTAAGTTCTCAAGAATTTCATTTTACTTGGATTGACAGTCAACATGGAATCATTGCATTGAACATTGAGGACTAAGGGACACCTGACCCAAGCCATTGTATTTTTTTAATCCCCTCATGTGAAAAGTGGTCAATGAATAAGGAAGATTAGAGAAGAATTGTTGCATTTGAATTACGGTGCTGGTGAAGAATACCATGAATTGCCAGAACAAACAAATCTGCCTTAAAAAAGCAGTATAGTCAAAATATTTCTTGGGATCAAGTATGGTGAAACTTTGTCTCATGTTTATTGGACATGTTATTAGGAAGGACCCACCACTGGAAAAGGACATAATGCTAGGTACAGTAGAGAGGGAAAAAAAGAAGACTGAACAAAATGTATTGGCCCAGTGGCTGCAACAGTATGCTCAAACAACAGTTGTGAGGATAGTGTGGGTCTGGGCAGTACTTCACTCTAGTGTTTATACAGGCAGTATGACTTAGAACTGATGGATGGGCATGCAACAACACCAAAGAAACAGCAATAAAACTTAATCATGTGCTCACCTTCCCGACACAATCGCTGAAAACAAATGGGCGCATAAACAAAAGTGGTAAAGAAAGCTGATGGTGCCCGACTATCAAAAGATATAGCATCTGGGGTCTTACAGGCTTGAAGATAAACAAGTGGCCAACTAGCTGAGAAGCAACAAAGTCCACATGGAAGAAGCACACCAGCCTGTGTGATCATGAGGTGTTGAAGGGATCAGGTATCAGGCGTCAAAGAACAAAAAATCCTATCATTGTGAATGAGGGGGAGTGTGGAGTGGAGACCCAAAGCTCACCTGTAGGCAACTGGACACCCCCTTACAGAAGGGTCGCGGGGAGAAGACCAGTCAGGGTGCAGTATAGCCCCGATGAAACATACAATTTTCCTCTAGTTCTTAAATGCTTCCTCCCTCCCACTCTCATGATCCCAATTCTATCTTACAAATCCGGCTATACCAGTGCATGTACACGGGTATAGATAAGAACTGGAAACACAGGGAGTCCGGGACAGATAAGCGCCTCAGGACCAATAATGAGAGTAGCGATACCAGGAGGGTAAGGGGCAGGTGGTGAGGTAGAAACAGGGAACTGATCACAAGGATC